CCTTTAGTGTTCATGCAGGTTTCTAACTAAGGCATGCTCTTACTGCCTTTATAACAAGTATCTAGTAAAGGGTTACTCTGGGCTATGCAGATACCCTGGGTTTTTGTGAAGGTTTTGCTCACTAGATTTCACACCCAGCAATGATTTTTTTTCCCATCCAAGTACTAACCAGAAAAAAAATATTAATTCCATCCCCTTAAATCAAACCTGAGTTTCATTGGCTTGTCTTCTGTTTTTGTTTCTTTGCTGTTTTGCTGTTCTAAGATTTTTTTTTTTTTTTAGACAGGATCTCCTCATAGCCCAGCTTTCCCAGAACTCTCTATGTAGACCAGGTTGACTTTGCTCTCATAGAGCTCTGCCTGCCTCTGCTGGGCTTAAAGGCATACACCACCACATCCAGCTTTGGTCTAAGGTTTTTAATAGTACACTATATAAGGTTACTTATGAAACAGATAGTCCTTGATTTTGAAATTTTTATTTAGCAGGGCTGGAGAAATGGCTCAGCAGTTAAGTACACTGGCTGCTCTTGTAGACAACCCGGGCTTGGTTCCCAGCACCCACATGGCAGCTAGCAACCATTTTAACTCCAGTTCCAGGGGATCTGACACCTTCTTCTGATCTCCACAGGCATTGCATGACTTGGGCACATTTACATACATGCAAGTGATATACTCATACACATAAAATAAAATAAGAAAAATATTTTAAAAAGAAAAAATTATTTAGTATTTAGTTTCCTAATAGATCTAGGAAACAATTAGCAGTTGTCTGGTATAGAGATAGAGTAGAGGTATGGTTGCCTTCTGGGAGCTTCCATTCTGAATATGGTGGGCCTTCTTTGGGGCTCTCCAAGCATCTTTGTCAGTCAGCTTTCTGTTATAGTAACAAATACCCAAGATAGTCAGCTTTGAAGAGAGAGGGTTGATTTTGGAAGTTCTGGACTACAATCCACTGACCCCATTGCTTTTGGGCTTGTGGAGAAACAGCATATCATGGTGGGAGTTTGCGGTAGACCATTCACCTCATGACTGGTTGTGAAACAGAGAGGGGGAGAGAAAGGGCTGGATCCCAATGACCTCTTCAGGGATGTGACCCCCGTGGCTAGATGATCTTTTATGAGGGCCCACTGTCTCCCAGCAGTCCCTATGGGCTGAGGACTAAGCCTTTAACACACTTGGCCTTTGTGGGCCACTCCAAACCCAAATCTCAGCAGCATCTTTCTCTCTTAGACAAAAGCTCAGTGTGGGGATTAGAAGCATCTAAGCCTCTGATTTAACTTGTCATGCAATGGTTGACTTAGGAAAGTAACGGAAGTCTGTGATGTTGTGGTTTCTTATGCCCAAAGTAGGAATAGCAACCCCCGGCCAGGGCAACTTGTGACGTGTTGAAGTCCAGCTCTTGGGAGCAGGAAGGAATCTTAGCTCCCCTCCAGCTCAGCCCTGCCCCACTGTAGCTGAGAAGGGTGCAGCTCAGAAGATCCAGGGTACCCCTTGCCTCAGATGCACTGAGGCCTCCTCTCCAGAGCTCCTGTCCTTGGCCCCACTCCTGGTGGGAAGCAATTCTGCTTAGCCTAAGGTGTCGCTTCTACTGACCCACCCACCACATTGCAGGTTCGAGAAGATGATCAGTGGCCTGTACATGGGGGAACTGGTCAGGCTCATCTTGCTGAAGATGGCCAAGGCTGGCCTCCTGTTTGGGGGTGCAAAATCCTCCGCTCTCCTTATGAAGGGCAAGATTGAAACACAGCACGTGGCTGCCATGGAGAGGTAAGCTGCTGGGAAGACCCTCCTGCCTTGTGCCTGCGGAGGGCTGGGGTAGGTGGCCCAATACTGGGAGCTAATGTAATGGAGTAGCAGTAGGAATTAAATCTTCCTCCTTCACAAGAAGCTTCAGGCCTGGCCATGGCTTCAGATAGGCTAGAAATTTCTGCTGTGACTCAGATACCATGCTCTCTTAGTTTCATTAGCCAAGGACTCTGCTGTCAGAAAGCCACCTTCTTCCTATGTTTTTCTGATTTCTTCCCCCCTTAAATAGTGACTTGTAACATTTGTAGGCTCAGACCCCTTTGGGAATCTGGTCTGAGTTCTGGACACTTTATCCCATAATCCATATCTGCATATAGTTTTGCTTGTAATATTGGGGCCTCCTTGTACCCTGTAAAATGTGGAGTCTATGTGAAGAGCTCGGGCTATAGTCTGGGCTCTCTCCACCTGCTGCCAACACAGTGATGATTAGAGACTTTACAGTCAAAAAGTAAAGCAGTACCCCCCTGAAGTGGGGCTGGTAAAGGAGCCTGGATCATTCAATGTAGGATCCTGCTTCTTGAATGTAGACTCTAGCATTGCCCTGAGTTGTTTTAATCAGTTTAAATTCTGAGCTCAGCAGAGGGGCACTGAAAGCCAGAATCTGTCTGTGCAGAGTTTGGTGGGGATGGGGTTTGAGGGGTAGTATAGCACAGGCTACCTGAAAGTGGGCTCTGCAAATCTATCTGAGTTCAAACCATGGCTCTAGCACTTACGAGCTTTGTGAGCAGGGACAAGTGACCCTCCCCCTGACTCATACACCTCATCTATACAATCTTGAAATGGCAGTACTTCCTTTGGGGTGGTTGTGAGGATTAAATGAGTTAACATGTATGTAAAAGTCTTAGACAAGTGCCTGGCACACAGTAAGTGCTTAATAAACAGTAGTTGCTGTTATCAGAGTTGATAATGTTGTTGGCAAGATTACATTACTACCAAACAGCCTATCTAGTTACAATCCTGAGAGCTGGCGCCCCCAGGGGGATTCCCGCAGCATGGAGAAGTGTGGTCCTCATTCCTGGTGTGTGTCATGTCATGTCCCCCCTTCCCTGGCTAGGTATAAAGAAGGCCTGGCCAACACGAGGGAGATCTTAGTGGATCTGGGCCTGGACCCCTCAGAGGCTGACTGCATTGCAGTCCAGCACGTCTGCACCATCGTCTCTTTCCGCTCTGCCAATCTTTGTGCTGCTGCTCTGGCAGCCATCCTGACCCGCCTCCAGCAAAACAAGAAGCAGGCCCGGCTCCGTACCACAGTGGGCATGGATGGAACTCTCTACAAGATACATCCTCAGTGAGTGTCCACCAGTCTGTACCCCACAACCCAGTCTTCCCTGGAGCTCAGTCCTAGTGCTCCCTCTGGGCTACTTGTGTAGCTGGACAACTGAAGTCAATACCCCTTAATAGTTCTACGATTACAAGGAGAAGACTGAATCAAAGCCTACCTTTGCCTAGCTGGCTGGGAGCTTTGGGGACTGGGCTATTAGCTGGATATAGTGGTGTGTACCAATAATTCCAGAACTCAGAGGGATTGATTAACAGCTGATCCTCTATGGCACATGAAGGGCAGAAGCCATGGAGACTTCCATGTAAGGAGGCAGGAGGATAGAGAGTTTGAGGCCAGCCTTGACTATATAGTAAGACCTTACCTTACAAAAACAAAAATAACAACAGCATCTATTGAAACCAATTGTCAGAGGCCAGGTGTGGTGGTGCATGCCTTTAATCCCAGTGCTTGGGAGGCAGAGGCAGGCCAGTCTCTGTGAATTTGAGGCCAGCCTGGTCTACATAGCAAATTCCAGGAAACTGGGGCTGCAGGGAGACCCTGTCTCAAAAAGACCAAAAAAACAAACAAACAAAATTTGTTGGTGTTGGAGAGATGGCTCAGTAGCTAAGAGCACTAGCTGCTCTTGCAATGGATGCGGGTTTGGTTCCCAGCACCCAGATAGCGGCTAACAACCATCTGTAACTCCAGTTCCAGGGGATCTATCTGACACCTTCTTATGACCTTCTCGGGTATTGCACAACATGGGTGCACTTACCTACATACAGGCAGGCAGTACACTCAAACAAATTAAAAACAAAAAGAAAAGAAAAGAGCACTGACTATTCATGCAGAGGACCTGGGTTCAGTTCCCGGCACCCGCATAGCAGCTGTCAACTGTCTATAACTCTAGTTTCAGGGGATCCAATGCCCTCTTCTGGTCTCTGCACACATTGTACACATATATTCAGGCAAAACGATCATACACATACAATAACAATAAATACAAAATAATTAAAATCAATCGTCTAATTAGGAAGGCCATTCATCCATGTGTGTATGCATTCATCCACCCATCCATCTGTGTATCTATTCATCAGTCTCTAATCTGTCCATCTGCCCATCTATCCACACATCTATCATCTATCTATCTATCTATCTGTCTATCATCTATCTATCTATATTATCTATCTACCTTCTATTTCTATCTTTCTATTGCTTTTTTGATTACTTACTGTGTGATAAGACTGAAAAGTCAGCTATACCTAGTCAGATGAGGAAAGTCAGATTCACTTGAAAGATCCTGATAGGAAAACATAGAAAAATGAGAATTTCCTGAGGATGAAGAGTGAAAGGCCCTTTAGCTCTCAGAGATGGTGTTGGAAGCCAAGAGAGTGTACTCTAGAGAGAGCTGAGAAAGCAAATCCCTCCCCTTTGGACAGATGCCATCCACCCATTACCTGATTCATGCACATGCCCTTTGGTTGAAATATTGCACTTCCCTTGGCCTCCCAGGTACCCCTTTCACTGCCCCAGTTGTCGTAGACCATTCACCTACCACCCTGCAAGTGAAAGGGTAAGCCCCGCCCAGCAGGGCTTCCAGGATCCATCACCCACTATCCCTGTTCCCATTGGGCAGACCCAGCCTTTATGACTGTTTATATATATATTTGAAACAAGGTTTCCCTGTAGCTGCAGCTGGCCTGGATTCACCAATGGAGATCAGGTTGGTCTCGAACTCACAGAGATCCGCCTGCCTTTGCCTCCCGAGTGCTGGGATTAAAGGCGTGCACCACTACACCCGACAGTTCAATATTTTATTGTCACCTCTACCTTCAGGTACCCCAAACGCCTGCACAAGGTGGTGAGGAAACTGGTCCCAAACTGTGATGTCCGCTTCCTCCTATCAGAGAGTGGCAGCACCAAGGGGGCCGCTATGGTGACTGCAGTGGCCTCCCGAGTGCAGGCCCAGCGTAAGCAGATTGACAAGGTGCTAGCTCTGTTCCAGCTGACTCAAGAGCAACTTCTGAGTGTTCGGGACAGGATGCGGACTGAACTTGAGTATGGGCTGAAAAAAAAAACTCATGCCCTGGCTACAGTCAAGATGTTGCCCACCTATGTCTACGGGATGCCTGATGGCACAGGTAGGTTGACACAGTTGTCTGCTCTGAAGGACTATGGAGTTCACGTCTATACCCCATGATCCAGTGTGTGTTGGAACCTTGGATGGTAGAGGGGGCAGTCTGATAGAGGCAAGTTCAGAACCTGGGTGACTTAGCTAAACCATGTGCTGGTGTGTATGTGTGCATGTGTGTGTGTGTGTGTGTGTGTGTGTGTGTATTATGTATGTGTGTTGTGTGTGTATGTATTGTGTGTGTTATATGTGTATATGCTGTGTATCTGTGCATGTTTGTGCTATGTGCCTATGTGTATGTATGTACATGTATATGCTTATGTGCATGTATGTGTAGTGTGTATATGTATGCATACTTATGTGTATGCATGTGTACATGTATTTACATGTGTAGGTGAGTCTGTGTTTATGTGTGTTTACACCTGCTTGTCCCCAGATAATTAGCAAGTTAAGTGCTTTAGGGTGCTTAGTTTAGTTGCTTGTTCCTTCGAACTTTATGTGTTCTCTCCTGGGCCAAACCTGTTTCCATAACCTGGGTAAGCTAAGAAATTTCATGTCTTAGAAACTTGAACCAAGTGCCTGTATATGTATGTGTCTGTGTATATGCTATTTTGTGTGTATATGTGTGTGCATGTGTGTTTCTGTGTGTGAATACATGTTGCAGGTGAGAGCATGTGTGGACCCCATGCTGCGAGTGAACAGAAGGCCCCATCCTGTCCCTGACCCTCCCTCTGGACACTTGGGCTTGTGTGGGTGGGGCATCCCTCTGGCTGTGGCTCTCTTGGATCTTGGGTCACATCCTTGCCCACTACTTTCTGCCCTTGGTTTTGCCCACTCAGTCCTGCTTCTGCTCCTCTGTGCTCGGGTGAGAGGAACCACTGCACCATGGAGTCTGTCCTTCCACAAGTTGCCTCGCCTCTCCCAGTCTCATGAGCCCCTCATAGAAATAACAACCATTGCTAAACGCTTTGGACCTTTTTCTAATTTTTCTTTTTTCTTTTTTCTTTTTTTTTTTTTTTTTTTTTTTTTTTTTAGGCAGGTTCTTCCGTTTGCCCCCACTGGCCC